GATGTGCAGGATAAAATATAGTATTCCGTGAGTGTAATGAATAATCGGTGTCACAAATGACGCTAGGTGACAAATGTGTAATTTGGTTTTATTTGTCACATGGTATTATTAATCACACCCACGGAAAAATGATGGGATCACCTACAGAGTTTAAAAATTGGCATGCACAAGTACGAGAGCTCTTTTTAATGTGCAAGAATTTTGTGAAAAAATTTATGTAGTGTACATGAAAGTTTTTATATATTCATAAAAATTATATTTGTGCATTAAAAAAAAAAAATTATATGCACACTGTGCAAGTAATTTTGCTTTGAAACTAGTTTCGCCACATCACTTTAAAAAAAAAAATATGAAAAATTCACTTGCATACTGTGGAATATATAATATATATATGTAGTACATCGCATGTTCCAGTCTACCCTAATTCTGATTCATTATGATGAATATTTTGGAAAAAATTTCCAAAGGTTAGCCCTTACCATACAAAACTGATATAAAATTTAATCCTTTACAGTTTTCTGTAAAGACGCTCACTTCATAGAATAAGCTCATATATATGCACGTGTCGAAAACATGACTCATGTACATCGCATATTTCAATTCATTCTACATTAGAAACAAATGAATGTAATACTGGGCATTAGTTGACTAGTTGATTTTTGGTAAACGCTACTGAGGACGGCTATATATATTTTTTTTTAAATGAATCGGAATTTGAATTTGATATTATATTCCACGATCGGCTGTGATGTGAAATATCCAAAATTGATCCACAGGCTAAGCGTTTATCCTGATAATTATCAGTTATCTGCTATCCGTTATCCAAGTATTCGATCTAAATTTATCCGGATATAGACGTCATTAGTAAAAATTTTACAGAAATGTTACGGGAATAGGACCGTAAAATATATCTGATATTTCACGGTGTGTCATGAACACGTGTATTATCACGTTTCGCCGTGCTAATACATCATACAATAGCTCGTGAAATATCTATTACATACCGATAATTGATTTTGAAATCTATTAATACTTTTTCGATAAGTTGCTTCTCACGATCATGAACATTAATATTTGTGTTAATATTCCTTATTATTAATAAGTACTACCCCAAAAATTTTAATGTACTAGCAATAAATAAATACCGTAAATGTGCGTATACAAGATCCTCCAAAATAATAGACCCACCATAATTAGATCCGGCCATGACTCTGTTAATTAAATGCGGTTTTTTTTCAAATAGCTAAACTACCTATTATAAGTACAAAATTGTGTATGCATTTTAATTTTACGAAATAACCTCTTCAGCGTGTACTAGACCCGGGGTCTACTAAAGGGTTTAAAAAATTGGTAGAATGAAATAGGCCCGGGTCTTGTATATGCACATTTACGGTATGTATCTGTAAAATGAGCCCGATCAGATTTTATAAATTGGGGTTTCGAATTAACAAATAAGTAGGATTTTTTCAATAGCGTTTTTATTATGTTGAAATTATAAATCGGAAAAATAAAATAAGATATTCTAATTTTAATTTCGAACCTCATATCATCAAATTGTATTTATGAGTCGTAATATTAATCACCATAAGTAATAATTACGCAAAAATAAGTATGAGAAGCAAAAAGTTTAACGTTTTGTCCATCAGGAGTCAATTCTTTTTCTTCGGACCGAAAAACGCTTTACGAGAATAATGTTTTCAAAAAGGCGCGAACGATCGCAGATCACTGAAATTGCCGTATTTTCGGAGCTTACAAAACCGCTTTAATCTGACATTTAATTTTTACTAATTTGAACGACCAAATTCATAGAGCATATGGAAATCACATTTTTGGAAACGCGCAAAAAAAGAACACACTCCCTTATTTCCCACTGCGGAAAAATAATTCCGGTGAATGTATTCGGCCAATATGAGTGTCCAAAAGGCCCGGAGATTTACCCGCCGTGTGGATGTACTGTACGTACGTACTAGATATACGTAAAACGAAAAAATACTTTTATTGCTAAATCAGGAATGATAGTTAATTTGGGGATCAATGCGTTTGAACTTAATTTAATATCTGATATTGTATAATCACGTGACAGGAAAATAAACCCTACGTCGCGCTGTGATAATAAGCCGAGCTAAACATTTGATAATCAACTATTTTAAACACTTAAAGACGTAAATATAACGAATTTATATCTTTAGTTAAACGTTTGGAAAATTCTTTGATTAAAATGACTAAAACGCAAAAATATCAAGCCATATTTATTCAGTAAAACTGTAGCACGTAGTGTATTAAAACTTTATAATTCAAAAGTAATTATGTCTATATTTACTTTTTAACAAACATATTATCTTAGTATCATCAAAAATTCAAAATGTACAAAAAAAAAAAAAAAATCAAAAAGCAAAATAAATATTTACTCAGTGTGCAGGAATTGATGTCTTACATCGAATTCATCATCCCATTGCTCACTATTATTATTTTTTTTTCACACCTAAATTATTAAATCTAAAATTAAAGCATAATTGTTCAACGTGCATAATAGAAAACTAATTTTTGTAATTTTATCTATATCTTAGCAATATATATATATATATTTATGTTTTTACTATAAAATCATATTTATCTAGTTACCAATCAATCTTCGAAGTATGAGATTGTAACCAAAAAATTCACACAAACCTATCACAGGAATTCCAGATTTCTGCAAATAATGTCATAATACGGTTTATGTTTTATAGTACTAATTAAAAACTTTAATGCTAATTAGAATGTTTCATTGATCTAGATCCATCATTGAGCACATCGCTTACACGCTATATCTCTAAAGAGATATAAGTATATTTGATGTTACACGAAAAGGTATGATTCAATATATCTTCAAGGGAATGCGTGAATTATAAGAAGGAAATCGATCTGCAATTGAGGAAAAAAAAAAAAAAAAAAAAAAAATATAAATAAATATATAATAATCTACCGGCTAAGCCGAAAAAATAGCTTCAGCCGATTTTTTTTTTCATTCTTTGTCACTATCATCTTCATCTTCAACTCTGACTTTTCTTTTTCTAAAAGGGCATAATCCGGGTGGTGATGTTTTTGTTCCAACATATGGGAAATACCATCTAGTATTTGGTGCAACAGAATCTGTAGACATTATTAAAGGAGTTGACCGAACCTTGGGAGAACTAAG